CATCATCATCATCATCATCATCATCATCATCATCATCATCATCATCATCATCAGTATCATGGCTATCAGTATTATGGTATTTATCGCCTTTCACGTTACAGATTTTGTTGTATGTCTATTGTTTCAACAGTGAGACTCTTTTCCCCACTGAGCAAGTTTTCCAACGGGTTTTGATGACCCTTCAACAATCACAAACAATGGTCGGGCTGGGACAAAGCTTCTGACGACTGAACGAGGACCGGAACCTATGAACTTGACATTCAGCTCGAGAGAACAGACAGACAGATTATAAATAGTTTACTGTCTCACCCACAAGGGCGCAACTGCTACATCATAAGGGTGTACTTGAGCACTGGTACATCATAAGGGTGTACTTGAGCACTGGTACATCATAAGGGTGTACTTGAGCACTGGTACATCATAAGGGTGTACTTGAGCACTGGTACACCGCGGGGCCTGCCTTTGAAAAAACGTATTTGTATCTTCAAAGCTGTATGATTTTTGTTCATTAAAAAAAAAGACAAATTGGGTTTATAGAGAATGATTTCACTTCAAAACTATTAACTGCTTAGAGCGCAAAATATTTTAAATTCATGTTTCAGGTTCTCTGTTGAAACCTACATTTTTATCTACCATCTCACGGAAAACCAGTTAATGTTCTTTCGTAAATTACAATAGTTAATCATTATGCAATCTATAACATTTAACGTGTAACTCAGCTTTGTTTCAATACAGGCATACACGTCTACCACTTTCCGTATTACGACTTACTTATACTATGCAATACTGATCATTCGTACTGGAAGATTTTTGTAGTTAACAAACATAATATTAGTAAGTCTCGTTTCTAAAATACATTTTGTCTCTAAGTCGGTGATTACATGTACATCTGTGACTCTCTGTACTTGTATTTGTAATTATGTCGTTCTGAAAATCCATCTACAGACCTTTACCACTGTTCTGTCAACACTTTTATTTCCTTTTAAATCAGAGATAAAATAGGCACTCCGCCGAAAAATGATATGAATAGTACATGTATAAGGAAATTCTATTGATGAAAGATGATGTATTTCTTTCTTATGCCTCACTGTTCATAAATCTTTCAATAAACGATGGATTCTTCACAAAAACAAACAAGTGGTTCATCGTGTTTTTTGCTAGTGTTAGTTTTTCTCTTGTTCTAGCGCTCAAAATCTACTGGTGTGTCGTTGGAGGGTGCCACTGGGTTGATCTCATTATTTCCTTTTACTCTATAGTTTTTGCATGTCTGTCTGACTTTTCCATCATCACTAAAACATGACTGCTATTGTGTCGATGTGCCTCTTTTGTGCTCAAACTGACTAGTATCTTGCAGCTCCCGTCTGTATGTCTCCCTACAACCTGTCTTCTGTACTGTCTGTCTGTTATGTTGCTCTGTTACTTGTCTTTTGTACTGTCTGTCTGTTATGTTTCTCAAACTGACATACACGGACCCATATGGCCTAGATTGTGTTGATGTGGGTTAAAACTGAAGCATTCAATTACAAATTCCCAGGGAAAAAAGAGTTTGGTGTGGGTCATTGTACCTGGCGTATTTGCCAATTTGCCATAACCTCCCCACATAGTAATACAGTTAATACATTTCCTGAAAAACTAAAACTGAATACTTCAACGACCTAATAAGTACATATTCTCCCCCACCCCCCTGTTTTTGGGTGTTAGTTATAAATGTTTCGCTTCCTGAGACAATGGAATCTGCTGTAGCCAACAAAATTCTACAACGGATTGAAAAGTACCGGTATTGAAAACATCACTTTGTTAATATGTTACATGATCACCCGCAGGTGGCTATTGGTTGGGGGAGGGGAGGGGGGGTGATTTTATAACAGGTCTCTGTTGGAACAACTCCTTGATAAACCGTCACCAAATCCCTTTGTCAGCTGCCAGTGTCAGTGTTGACGAAAGACCCGTTCAATCAAGAATCTGCAATGACTAACAATAATATTAACGGCTTTTTTTTTTAAATTTGATTTGGGGAAATCAAGCAGAAGGGGGACAAAATGCAAAGTGTCGACTCTTATCACCATCTTTATTATTGCGTCCGGGGGCTATCAGTATTATGGTATTTATCGCCTTTCACGTT